TGTGGCGGTGCGGTCGATGATGACATGGCCAATATAATTGTAGCACAGCTTCTTTATCTTGATGCAGTTGATCCTGCGAAGGTATCTTCATATATTTTCCTTATTCTGTAGCTTTTTTTTTGTCTGAATCACTCTTTTTTATCCTGTATTCCACCTCAAGCTTGAACTTCAAGGTAGTCTTAATGGCTTCCCAAGTTGTCATTTTGGGCGTGTTTACAATGTTATCATATATTTACATTCTGTCTTTTGAATGTCATTAAGGTTTATTATCTATTGTGCTTAATAGGACATTGTCATGTATGTGAACTCTCCTGGAGGATCAGTAACAGCTGGTAAGTTGTTTCCTCATCTTCCTGTAATAAGTTTGATCCACACATTAACTATTGGTTAATTTGCACACTCAAATAATTCATGGTTCTTATTAGGTATGGCAATTTTCGATACAATGAGGCATATTCGTCCGAATGTTTCCACTGTATGTGTTGGATTAGCAGCCAGGTATCCAATTTATGGTCTTATCTCTTGTATGGTAGCTTCATACCAACATGTAGTCTTACATATTCTTGCAACAAGTCATTTGAGTGAACATAGATGCATAAAATTAAGAGATTCATACTGTCATACATGCAAGTATTCATTTGCATTGAAAGAGCATAAATTGAAGAAAGTAATTGGCTTTATATTTCAAGAGTGCTCAGCATTTTTATTCTGAGCTGAAAATTTTCTACCAAAACTAAGATTTATCCTATGATTTTTGTTTAAACCTACCTGACTCTTTAGTGCATCGTGTATGGTGCGTGCAAACTATATTTTAAAATTGGATGTGTTGTGTTGTATTTTAGTCCAACTTTAGCAATTTTATTCCTTTGGGCTATCTTAGAGGTGCGAGTTTTCTGTAAAGTTAGGGAAAAGGAAATAATATTCAGTTGTTTTTCCTCCAATATTTGTTCTCTTTCTTCTCTCCCTCTCCCCCTCTACATTCAAGAAGGACATTTTCCTCCAAGATGCCAAAAATCTGGTATCAGAGCTAGGTGGAGGTGGAGGAAGCTTCTTGTAGTCAAGAAAGAAAGATGAGGAGGTTGGGTTGCTGGTGTCGCACGCAAGAGGAACTGGGGTGTAGTCATGCAAGTCACATGGACCTTGGCTGTGCAATCGCAATCACAGTCGCAGTCGGACAGCATGAGCACAAGCATTGGATGGGCTTGCAGGGCCGGGGGTGGACACGCAGGGCATGTGGTGGACAGGAGCCGCCTGAGCGGTTTCACACGGAAGGAGAGGAGCATGCAGGCGAAGATGGGCTAGGAGCAAGAAATCACGGACACACACGGTTGAACACTCACAGGCAGACCCGTGCGTACACGCGTGTGGTACAAACACAAGGTACGGGGCTGGGTGGATGCACTGTGCAGGCATGTGGGAGTCATACGCGGGAAGGCGTGCAGTGCACACGAGATCACTCGGGGAGTTGGGTGCGTCGTTCACGACAGATGAGCGGGGCACACACATCTCTCAGGGCTTAGTGCGTGGGGCGCGATAAGGTGTGGGGTGCAGTGCACGAGGTGCGGCAGGGCGCAAGGCGAGGCTTGGTGCATGCGGTGCAGTTGAGTTGCCTGGGAGCTTGGAGCGGGTGTAAGAGTCGCAACCATTGCGTAGGATGCTTGGTGGTAGGACATGGGTGTTCACACATGTTGGTCATGTTCAGGAGTCGCGTGCGGACGATGGAGTCAGACTGGAGTTCTGGGTCACGGATGGGAGGCTCGCATAAGGGCAAGGCTTGGGCTGTTTGGTCGGAACGCTTGATTCATGTGGGATTCAGAGCATGGAAATGAGAGTTAACTAAAGTGATGGTCCGATGGAGGTTTATTTTGTTAAAACATTGTAAAATTGGACTAAGGTGATGATTTTTGTATTTTGGTCCAATTTTAAGAATTTTGTTCCTTTGGTCTTTCTTAACAACTTGATAGTGTTATAAATAGAGGTTTGAGTTTTTTGCAAAGTTGGGGAAAATGAAATAATATTTAGTTGTTTTTCCCTCCAATATATGTTCTCTCTCTTCCCTCCCTCTCTCCCTCTACATTCAAGAAGGACATCTTCCTCCAAGATCCCAACATGTTGAAATTTGGTATTGGAATCAAACTACGTAGAGTATGTTGGTAGTCTTGTACCAAATATTAGACACAGTGTACAACACTTCTTTCAAAGCGTCTGTGGTCAATCTTTACATTCCATACAAAAAATTTAGCTACAAGTGCTGTTTTTAGTTGTACATCTTATTTCAAATTTTTGTTATCGATAAACTATTGATTCGTGAACTTAGTTGATATGGATGGATATCAGACCCGTAGATTTTGAATCCGGAACTGACGAGGATGAGTATGTAAAAAAAAAAGAGGAGAATGAGTATGCAACCCTTCTTCACCAACCCTACATGCCAAAGGGTGTTGCACTAAGTTCCAATAACAAAAGCTATGGTTTTTTAATCACTGATAGATTAGTGAGGTTAGGAGGATCACTTGGTTTTCAATTTGAGCGTGGAAGGAAAAATATGAAGAGACCTTTGTAGGGTTTCTAGTTGTCCTCTTATGCTAGGGAACCTTGATCTTGAGGTTTTCTTATATACCACGAGTTTGATAAAGAGAATAAACTATTTTCTGTTAGCCCAGTCATCAGACTGGCCTGCTTCTATGCGAGGCGGAACAAAGCTCACCTCTCGAACCGCAAGGACCAACAAAGCCTATTAGGAAAGATTTAGGGATATTTTAGGAGGGAAATTTGAAAGTAGGGGTTGTTTATAGATTTATTTTTAGATTGTATGCATTAAATAGTTTATTTTTCAAGAGTTAGGGCATCTGGAATTTGACAAAAATTTGAGATATTTCTTGGGTTTTGTTTGGGCTCTAGCGGCATCTATAGAATGGGAGAGCCGGATTCTCCTCTCCAATTAAAGATCCATTGTATCTTGTTGCTTTTCTTTTATTATTATCATTCAAAAAGTTCTTCTCTAATTTAATTCATCCAAGTTTTCTCAATCATGGTTATTGCAAAGTGCTGAAATTAAATTTCAGCAAAGGAGAGCATAGGAGATTCTTGTTTCCTACTAGAGTTTCCTATCTTTTTCCTTCTAATGAAATGAATCTGAGTTCTCCCAAATCTTCTCTTCTTCTCTCCATTGTTACTGGCTTTATCTATCAGCAAAAGCTGCTGATTCCTCTCATAGCTGGCCTTACCAGCAGCCAAAAGTCACAGCCTGCAAGTGGAGGAATCTGTTTGTTGCTTTCAATATGATCTCCTTAGAAGCCTGCTGGACGTTGAATTTCTTGTTGTTGCTAATTTCAGAACTCGTACAGGTCTTGATTCAAATTCTGCAAGGGAGGAAAAATAGTATCGCAAGTTTGTTTGTTGTTTGCTATTTCTACATCAATTAAAGGGCAAAAGCAGTGAAAATTACTTGTTCAGAACTACAACGAAAAACTTAGAATAAAAAGAAAATATTTCCTACAGGGTGCAAAAATTGTGGGAGGTATCTTTAATTGATTCATTGATCGTTAGGATTCTGATAGGAAACACTTGAAGATCTCAATTATTTCCTATCAATCTTAAAAAAACAGCGAGAATTCTCCACAAAAATCCACACAAAAACAGGAAAACAATAGATAATTTGTAATATTTGATGAAATGGAAACAGAAAAATACCAAGATACAATTGATCCTCTATTCGAGAGGAGGATCTTTTTCTCCCAAATCTCTAGACACAGCTAGAGCCCAAAGGAAAACCTAAAATCTAAGAGATCTCAAATTTCAGCCAAATTCAAGATGAAATTGATGTAAAACGTACATGCGAAGATGAACTAATTAATGAATTTGCACGCTTAATATTTATAGCACAACAATTATAAACTTTATGTTGATTTTGAACGACAAAAGAAAACACGAAGAGCGGTAAGACAGGTTTAGGCTAAATCACATGCATAAATGTTAAGATCGTAAAACAGTCAATTTAATCCAACATTGCATGCATGAATGATTTTCAACAATAAATTCCAATGCTAACAATAAGATTAGGCACTATGCAAGAATCACTCACTCAACTCTCTAGTTATCTAAGTTTTAGCGGGGAAGAATTAGCATGATCGTTGTGAGTCAAAATATAACCACGATTGAGGAATAAACTACGAAGATAAGTGAATTGGAGAAAGAGTTTACCTAAAGAAGGGGAGTTACGATGCTCCGGTGTGGTTGATTATGAGCTTGGGGAAGAGTGAACAACAACTTCAGGGTTGGACGCCTTCACGATGGCGATCAGAGACGTTCTGGACAGCGGGAAAGTCATGGAAGGTCAACAAAATGGCTGGACAGCAGCTAGGGACGACTTAGACAGCGGCAATGAAAGTCGGGGCAGCAATTTGGCACTTGAAATAATTCTAGACAGCAACTTCGCAGACCTGGACAGCAGTTCCAGCACTTGGAAACTTCAAAGAAATAGAAGATATGAAGCTTCGACGGTTGTTTGGGTGCTGGAGAGGAAGAGGACGGCAACCAATAACCTTCTTGGTGTTGTGGGCAACAATCTGAACCTTCAAGACAGCACACGAAGATTCCCCGACCGGCTGAACAACAGGAAGAGAAGCAGAATTTCTCTGGACAACAATTGGCAGAGTCTGGACAACAGCTTTCAAAGCTCCAATATTCAGGTTCAGCTTAGGGAACCTGTCCAGGGATCTGAACAATAAGCTAGAGAGGGGAGTTTCAGTGATTTCCTCTTGTTGGATGCATAGGCACTTGGATAATAAAGTGGAAAAGTAGGCGGGCAGCTATGTAGATGATCTTGGAGTTAATTTCCGTTGCTTATGTGGCATGTTAGCAATTTAAAATTAATTAGAAGGTGGGGAGATGAAGTTTTAGTAAATCTGAAATTAATTTCAGATTACGTGAATTCGGAGGGAAAGAATTTGAATTTTGAATTCAAACTCTCATTGAAAGGAATTAAGTGTAAGGGAGGTATTGTGGGAGATAATGAGGGAGTATTAATAGAGAGCAATTAATGAAAATTGGAGAGAGAATGTATGAGGGAGAGGGGGCTGGCCATGTAGAGAGGAGAGAGAGGGGTTTGTGATTAATATGTGGGCTCCAAGGAAGTTAATGCAATTATAATCAAATATGAAATTAATTTCAGATTTGATTCAAAGTAATAAAAAACTTCCTAATGGAACTTAACTCACATAGGAAGGAATTTTGAAATTCAAAATAAATTGATTACCAACAAGGATTCCCTCCTAAATCACATAGAGATAATTTAGGAAAGTATTTATGATAGAATTTGAATTTCAAAATTCGAATTTGAAGGATTATGGTGGGTGGGCCGGCGGGTGGAACAAGTGGAGGGGGAGAGGGGAGGGCTGGCCGGCAGCCGGACTTGTGGCTGGCGGTTTGGGGCGGCTAAGGGGGAGGTGAACCAGTGAAGGTGGGCTCGGTTTTGTGAGAAGGGGACGGGGACGGGG